TTTCTATATGACATCAAGTAGTTCTCTTTTTCTCAGTGACTGAAGTTTGCAGGCTGAGATTAAATGATTTGTATTGTGATCACATTGGTTCCCACCTCTCTCTATCCAAAATGATGAGGCAAATTCTACTGAGTACACCTTGACAAGCAACATTTTAAATGTCAATACTAAAGTGACTAGGCAGGCTTTTCATCAGAACTACAGAACCACAAAAAGGTCAAAGCAAAGAGGAGCTGACTGTTAGAAAAACTCCAGCTTCCTACACCTTCTGTTAGCCACAATCACACGGTGTGCAGCAAATATTTTTAGGTTGCACCGAGAAGCTTGAAACTGCAGCTTTGGTGAGAAAGAGAGGAGAGCAAGCGTGAGAGCGAGAGCGGGAGCGGGAGTGGGAGAGGGAGGGGGGAGAGAGGGGGAAAGAGGGGGGCTTAGGGAGGGAGGGAGGTTCCTCAGGACAATTGAAGTTTTTATGCAAAGGGTTTCATATCCTTGGATGAAAGTTATTAAATACTGCATGACATGCACATTGTACAACAGCGTATCGTAATTATAGTTTGCTTTCCACCATCCGAAGCCTTCCTGTGCTTTCTGGGTTTTGCGTCTAAGCGTTATAAATTACTTCTGACTCATTAGCCTTTCACCCCTACGGGCAACTCACACGCTCCATAAACATGTGCATATTTTTCTTAAATCTCTTCTCGCAAATGCATTCGTTTGCTTTTTAGTCTCAGAATGTAGATTCCCACAGTGAAAAGCAATTAAATAACACTTGTCTCCCTCTCTTATATACTTTTCTCTAAAAAATGTCATTTATAATTAAAAACACATATCTGAAGACCAATTCTTTATTACAACTGGGGACCTTAAGCTGAGGAGGAATTTAGGGAATGGGGAGCAGGGTGGCATAAACACTACTAGGCCAGAGCACCCCAACCTTGGCCCCATTGACACTTTGGGTTCAATAATTTTTTACGGTGAAGGAAGGGCTGTCCTGTGCATTGTAGCCTATTCAACATCTCTGGCCTCCACCCACTGGGTGCCAGCAGTGCAGAGCTCAATTCCCCAATGTGATCACCAAAGGTATGTTCAAGATACTGCCAAATGTCTCCTAAGGAACAAAACTGACCCCGATTGAGAACCACTGCAACTAGGCCAAAGACCTTACAAAACCAAGCTCTGTCTGGCTGGGCGTGGCTCAGTGGCTGAGCATAGACCTAGGATCCGGGAGATCGGAGTTCGAGTCCCGGTCAGGGCACAGGCCTGGGTTGTGGGCTCGATCCCCTGTCGGGGGCATGCAGGAGGCAGCCGATCAATGACTCTCTCATCATTGATGTTTCAACTCTCCCTCTCCCTCTCCCTTCCTCTCTCTGAAATCAATAATGATATATATTTAAAAAATAAAACAAAATGAAAAAAACCCCACCAAGCTCTTTGTGCGTTTGCCAATTCAAATTGTTCCTTTGATCCCATGGACAACCTCTACCTACCTAGCGACCTACCAACATGAAATAGACACCCTAAATACCCTCACAGTCTTCGTGTGGAAGCCCTTAAACATTGTCTAGAGCTCCTCCTCTGAACCCTATGTGGCCAATTCAGGAAGGAGAGAAGCAGGCACTGGTAACTTCCCCACCCTTCACTGATGTGAGTGTTCATGCTTTTCACACTTACTGCTCGTAAGTTCACAGTGTCTTGACTTCTGAAGCTCTAAAATACCCTGTTTCTTTGTCCATCAGCAATACTCTGCCACTCCATGCTCCCCCAGGAAAACTGTTTGAAGCATAATTTTGTTTATTCTGCCTTGCAATTGTTTTTGCACTTATACAATTATGATCCAGCTTTAAAATATTTCCTAAAATTATCTTAGATTAGAGCCTATTAATTAAACTGGAGGAAGGTTATAGAATTAAAAAAAAATAAATGAACCAAAAAGCCCCCTACTTTCCCTAATTCATCCCACAACAAAACAACACATATTAGCTTCTACGAGTTTTATTTCTATGCTTTTTAATATATTTGAGGGGTGTTAATTCTCCCTACTCCAGGTTGTCTCGTGTTTCAAGCACCAATGGAAATGGGCAGAGGGGATGATTCCCTTCATGGAAGAAACCTTATTAATGAATTCTCTTCTATGGAAAACTGAAAAGTGGATCTATCATTACTAGAGTCATAACCTTGAGTTAAGCAGCTTAGGCTCTGCTGGCCTATTTTTTCTTTGGTAAAATGAGAATGACGATATCTATCGTCTGTGGCATATTGAATAAAAGGATCTGTTTTAAGCTCTGAGCCCTGTGCCTGACATGCAGGTCTTCTGTAATTGTCATTTTCTATGCCACTTCTCTTCCTGGCGCTGGCTAAATAATTTGCAAGGTCCAGTGCAAAATGGAAACGCAGCCTCCCTTGTTCAACTATTAAGAATTTCAAGATGACTAAAGCAGAACATTAAACCAAACGTGGGGCCCTCCTCAGCATGGGGCTCTGTGTTCCTGCCTAGGTCACACACTCATAAAGCCTGCCCTGCTCCCTCCCCTAGGGTTGTCCAGGTTCTACGTGCCTATTCTTCTACTAAATTAAAAGCCACTCTTCGGTTTGACACTTAACAGGTAAATAAATGAAACTAAGGAGGGCTTTATTATGTGTGTTGCTTTTTCATGCTGACTCATTTTTCCTGAGGCTGTTGAGTGTTGTGAGCATAAGGATCTCACAAAGGACCAGTTTTAATCTGCCATGGTATTTCCATGGTTTGGATAATTCGCAACATGGAGGAATTAAAAAAAACACACACCACTGTTTTCTACAAGTAATTGGACCCTTGAATATAGCCCAAGAAGCACTTAGTGGCCAAGAAGGCACTTAATTCAAAAGCTCTTTATCTAGACGTATCAAACAGCATTCACAGGGAAAGCAGCAGGGCTTTAATGAGTCTCTTAGGTCCTAGACTGGAGGCTTTTAGGGAACTGGTCCAGAGGTCTAAGAGGAAGACCTGGTCTCCAAACCACGGAGTCCCGGCTCTGCCTGCTATTTCTTCTCCTTTATGGATCTATCGACACGGCCTTTAAAGGTGTTCTGGAGGTTCTCACATCCTATTTGTAAGAGCAGGATCCTGTGAAAAGGACAACATATGTGTTTGAATATATGTATATATGTATGCACACACAGAGAAATTTCCAAATTGCCTCTGTTGGAGGAAACACACACACGCACACACAGGCACACAAGACATCTAGGAGAAGGCAGGTGTGTTATAGACATTGCAATTTTAAAGTATATGCTAATTTTCATTTCGTTACTCCTTTATTCTAAGGATTTTTTAAAAAAATATATGTTTATTGATTTCAGAGAGAGGAAGGGAGAGGCAGAGAGAGAAACATCCATGATGAGTCCTTGACCGGCTGCCTCCCGCACGCCCCCTGCTGGGCATCGAGCCCGCAGCCCCGGCCTGTGCCCTGACGGGAACCGAACCCGGATCCTAGGTCGATGCGCAACCGCTGAGCCACCCCCCGGCGGGCAGGCTTTCACTTTTATTATTTTAAAAAATTCCTACCCAAGGATATGTTTCTTGATTTTAGAGAGAGAAGAAGAGAGAGGGAGAAACATGACCGGGTGCCTCCTGAATGGGCCCCACCAGGGACGGAACCTGAACCCGGGTTCGTGCCCTGACTGGGACCCGCTGAAACCCTCTGGTGGGCACGCTCCACCAACCGAGCCACTGGACCAGGGCAGGGCTTTATTTCTTTTACAGTGGAGAAACCGAGGCTCAGAGTAGTTACACAGGGTGCCCAAAGTCACACAGCAAGTTGATGGGTCTCTATTAGAGATTTTATCTGACTCCAAAACTCACGTATTAAAATTCTATTCAGTTTAGATGATTAAAAATTCAGGGGCACAGTTTGGCACAGTTTCGTTGACTCATAAAACGAACAAAATGCAATGCACTTTAACATACTTTCTAATCATATTAGTTTATACGGCTGCCTTGCTCTTACCGTAATTTTCACCCTTTCCCCACCCCCCCATCACCATAAATCGCTTGGTGTCTAACGGTTATTGATTTTCCTAGCAATCGATGGGGCGAACAGGCCGTCCTCCGGGTAACGACAACGGGGACTAGCAGCGCAGAGCTCGAGAAAAAAATGCGCGCTTTGAGGCGGCAACCCCTCACTTCCGGCCTCGACCCGGGGCAGGAAGCCTCCGCACGTGGACCCACACGATTCCCGGCCCGCGCTTCCATCCGGGCCACTGGCGAGTCGGCCCAGGCTGCGC